CAGAACCAGTACAAAAGTTAAATGGATAAAAGCATTCCTACATTCATTTTCAACAAGAAAAAAAATATCTAAATGTCATAGTCAGAATGTCCTGAAGGAACCAAACATTTTGTTTTATAAATGTTGAAATAGGACAAAACCTGCAGAACGAGATGTGTGCTGAAAAACATATAGAAGAAAAAAATAACTTTGGTGTGAATGCTTCATAAGCAAACAAAAACTTGGACTAAAGATGTTATTTTATATTATAAAGTATTTAAAACTAAACTTTCTTGTATGTGGAGGTGAATGTTTGTGTGTTCGCCCACCTGTAATAACTCCAGCTGTGATGTAGACCTCGGCGATGGAACGGGTGAAGGAGCTGGCGGCCATTCCCACCCCGCTCAGGACTCCGCCCAATATGACGGTGGTCCGGCAGCCCAGTTTGTGAATGAGCACGCTGGAAACGGGCCCTGCGGGTCACATGGAACGCTCTCAGTTTAATGCTTTCCGGGCCTGATCCTGCAGCCTGTTTCACATGAACTCTGATAATCTGCACCAGATGAATGACCTTACTGAGAACAGAGGAGGACTGAAACACGCCCCGTCACTGATACCCTCACACTTTATCTGCTTTTATATCTGACAAGAAACTAGAGTTTATAAATCTGCAAAACTGAGCTTCTCACGTCAGCAAAAACGTGCTCCTATCTGGACATGTCAAGTCACCTCAACTCATAAATAACACTCGGTCAAGGAGGAAGGATTACATCGTGCATTTGAAGGCCTGAGTGCTAAATATCAGAGGCAGCAGTTGGTTAAATGTCAAGAGGAGGGGTATGAAATGCAATGGGCTAACTTTGTTTTGGAGCAACAAGCTGCTTGATATTGTCGGAGATAAAAGTCAGGCCTTAATGAGCCAAAAACAGCCGAACATCAGCCTTTAACTTAGAAAACTGGCAAAGAGGTCTCAGCTTTAATCAGACTAACAGCAACCTGAAAGTTCTCGTCACATTTTGGTCAGGTTAAGGTTTCTTTTTCCTCCTTCAGAACTGGCTTCAAATCTGTCCATTGGTGCTCAAGGGCCTCATGTACTGTATAAACGGTACATACGCATAAAAAAGTTGCATGCGCCAGGTTCTACGCCCACGTTGGGATGTATCAAAACCAACGTTGTGTGAAACTGTGCGTAAATATAAGTACACTTTTCACCTGCCTTGAGAATGTGCGGCAGCCACACAAAGTTTTTCAGTCGACAGTTTTAGAGGCGCGGTGTGTAGGATTTGTTTTCAGCGACATCTAGTGGTTGAGTGGTTGAATCATCCTCCCTGGTCCTCCCCCCACCCCCAC